TGATCCTGAGAGGGTCCTTGGGGCTGGAGGAGGACCCCAGGGTTGGGGGGGTCCAGAGGGGGCAGGAGGGGGCTGCAAATGGCCCCCAGAGCCTGAGCAGAGGAACCTCCCCCTTGTGGGGGCCCCAGGTTTGGGGGGTGGGGAGTTTGGGCTTGGGAACACCTGGCAGGTAAACCCAGTTAGGAAAGGGGGGGAAACAGCCCCCTGACCCCCCCCAGAGCGCCCCCAACTCCCCTAAAGCCCCCCCAGCCCCACCTTGTTTGCGGGAGATCTTCCAGGCCGGGCCCTCCAGCGCCAGGTCCACATCGATCTGGTTGTCCTTGGTGGCCCTGCCCAGGGTGATCTGGGGGGGTTGAGGGGTGTCTTTGGGAGGATTTTGGGGAGGTGGGGATATTTTGGGGTGTCCCAGCTCCGGATCCACCTCCTGGGAGTGCATGAGGTACTGGGAGTGGTTTGGGGGTGTTTTACCTCTCGGGAGCGCATCAGGTACCGCACCATCCGCCCCCGCAGCACCGCCAGGGTCTGGCTGTCGAAATCTGGGGAGCTCATCCCTGAAATGGGGGGACAGGGGGTCAGGGAGGGACACACAGACACAGAGGAACAGAGGGACACTGGAAGTCAGTGGGACACAGAGACACGGGGGGACAGAGGGACATCAGGGACACACAGGGACATGGGGGGGGACAGAGGGACATGGGGGGACAGTTGGGACACCCCACCTGTGATGGAATCCACCAGCACCTGCCACTTGTGCAGCTCCTGCTCCAGCTGCCGGATCTCCCGTTTCTGCCGCCGATCCGCCACGGTCAGTTCTGGGGGGGGGCAAAGGGGGTCCTGGGGGGCCAGGGGCTACCTGACCCCTCCCCCAGGGATCCTGGGGGTTTAGGGAGGCTCAGGAGGGTGGGAGACACTCACCATGCTCCAGCACCTCGTCCCGCACGTCCCTGCGCAGGAGAAGGGGGGGGTGGGATGGTGTGATGCCCCCTGGGACCCCAGACCTCCCAAAAATATCATTGGGGCTCCCTGGGACACCCTGAACCCCCCAGGGGGCGACCTGTCTGCCTCCCAGCCCCCCTAAACAGCCCTCAGCTCCCTCAACCCTCCCTCAGTCCTCCCGAACCCTCCCTTGAGCTCCCTGTGCCCCCCAAACCTTCCCTTCACCCCCCAGTCCCCCCAAACTCTCCCTTGAGCCCTCCCAAACTTCACCTGAGCTCCCTGGTCCTCCCTGCCCCCACAAAAAACCCTTCCCTTCGTCTCCCAGCCCCTCTCTTGACCTCCTATCCCCTCCTGCTCCCCCAACGCCGCCCCAAACATCCCCAAGCCCCCCTACCTGAGTTTCCCGTCATCCACCATCTCCTCGGCATCCGAGAAGTTCAGCACTTGGTCCCCCTTGGGCAGGGGCTGCACTGGGGGGTGAGAAGGGGGGGTGAGGGGCTGGTGACCCCCCAGTGCCCCTCAGGTACTTCCCAGGACCCCCTCAAGCCCTCCCAGGCCCCCCTCACCTGTCTGGTCCTGCAGCAGGTGGTACTGGCGCAGGAGCTGCCAGTGCAGCTGCAGGGCCTTGGGGGTCCTTGAAGGGTAAAACACCTCGGGGTGTCGGAGCAGCAGGTCCTGGAAGGTCTCCAGGGATGGCTGGGGAGTCTGGGGAGGACAGAGAATATGAGGGGGGCATGGGAGGACACTTTGGGACAAGAGGGGAGATGTAGAAACCCAAGGGGACAGGGAGGGATGTGAGGGAACACAACAGGAAAGTCCACAAAGGGACAGTTGGGAACCCCCCACTGTCACCAATCCCACCCTGATGAGCAGCTGAGGGTGTCAGGGGACATTTGGGGACACATTTGGGGCCACTCACCGAGGGGACCCTGGTGAGCAGCTGCTCCTCAGCTTTGCTGAACAGGACCTTGCTCTGCACGGCAGCCACGGCCTCGGGGTGCAGCGACCGCATGGCCTGGCAGGCCAGTCTGGGGGACCTGGGGGTGAGACCCCCAGGGAACCCCAGGGTGGGGGAGATTCCCCAGAGGCCCCCAAGGACAGCCCAGATACGAGACCCCGCCAAGGACAGGTGAGATGCCCCAAGGACTGCCCAGACCTCCAGGGAGGGCTGAGATGCCCTCCAGGGACACCTGAAACCACTCCCTGGGGACATCCTGGTTCCTCTGGGGACACCTGAGACCTCCCAAGCCCCCAAGGACCCCTGAGCCCCTCTCACTTGCAGATGACGGGGTCATAGAGCAGCGCTCCTGAACCTCCCTCAGGGAGCAGGGACCACCCCATAACCCCCTAACCCCCTAGAGCCCCCCAGGACCCCTGGTCCTCCCTCACTTGCAGATGACGGGGTCGTAGAGTAGCGCGTACCAGCGCTCCTGGATCTCCCTCAGGGTGAACCGGCAGCTGAACTTCACTCCCAGGTGAACTGAGGTGAGGTCGTTGGTCTGGGAACACCCTCAGATCAGGGGGGAGGCCTGGGGGGTGTCCCCAAACCCCCCCAGGTGCAGGGGGTCCCTTGAGCCCCCCCAGCCCACCTGCAGCACGGCATTGATGAGCAGCAGGTCGTCAGCAGGTTTCCACCGTCCCAGATCCCGCGGCACTGCTGGGCTTTGTTTGCTCTTCTTGAGCCTCTTGGGCAGCCCGGGGGGGGGCCCGGGGGCCGCAGGGGGGGGCACCGCCCTCGACACCTGGTGGGGAGGGTATACGGGTTTAGAGGGGTCTCTGGGGGTCCCCAGGCTGCCGGGATGTCCCCAGTGACTTCAGGATGTCCCCAGCAGCCCTGCAGGTGGAGGGGTTCCCAGGCTGGGGGTCATGGCGGGGGGCATAGGGGTCTCTGGGGGCTCCCCAATGGCTCCTGAATGAACCTGGATGGCCCCAGTGACCCCAGGATGGTCCCCAGAACACCTGCCCTGGGACTCCCCCATTGGCCTCAGGGTGTCCCCAATGTCCCTGTGCTGTTCCCAGTCCCTGCCCAGCCCTGACCTTCCTCCTGTCCCCCGGAGGGGGGTCAGGGCCGGGCCGGGGTGGGGGCTCCGGGCCCCCCTTGGCGCGGCTTGAGGACTTGGCCAGGCTGCTCTCAACCAGCTCGTCGTCGAACTTCTTCCTCTTGATGAACCTGCCGGGGGGCCACAGAGGGGCACAGACATGGCACCGGACCCCCCTGTGCCCACACCCTGCCTGGGGCCCCCGTGTCCCCCCATGTCCCCCACCCCCTGTCACATCACCCCCAGTGTCCCCTCGTTGCGGCTCACTCTCAGACCTCCAGACCCCTCCCAGACTCCCCAAGACCCCCAAAGGCCCCCGTACCTGGAGGAGCTGCAGCATTTGGGGACAGTCCCCAGGGGACCTCTCCAGTTGCCCCTCGTTGTGGTTCATTCTCAGCGCCCCCGACCCCTACCAAGACTCCCCCAGCCCACCCCCAGTACCTCCGTACCTGGAGGAGCTGCGGCGTTTGGGGACAGTCCCCGGGGGGGGGGGCGGGCCCCTTTTGGTTCCCCCCAGGGACTCCTCGTCCTCCGAGCGACTCGTGGCCATGGGGTGTCCTGGGGGGGTTGCTGGGGGTCTCTGGAGGGGACACAGCAGGTAGGTGGGTCACCCAGTGCCTCCGCCCGGGGCTGTCACACCCCTGGGGTGGAGAGGGGTTCTGCCACACCGCGAGGGGCAGATTGGGGGGTGGGGGCCATGAGAGGACAGGGTGTGACACCACGGGGGGGGGAATAGGGCACAACCCGCCGCCCGGGGGGGACTCGGCCCGGGCCCCATGCCCCTCCCGCCAACCCCAGCCACGTGTACCCCCCAGAACCCCTCACAGACCTCCCCAACCTCTCCGGACCCCCCACTCCCCCTCAGGCCTTACCAGCCCCGGCATCCGCGGGCCGCCATGGCCACTTCCCTTCAGGAAGCCCACTGACGTCACTGAAGCCGCGGAGGCCGCCGCCTTGTTAGAAGTTCCTCCTTTTCCTTTGTGGCGTGACGCCATCTTGACTAAGGGCAAAGCCGCTCCTGCTGCGTTCTGAGCCGGACGGCAGGCCGGAGGCCACCGGGTCCAATTCACGGGGCTGCGAACGGGACATGCCCCCTTATCCCGGCAGACATAGCTTGTTCTGGCGGTTGAAGCTGCCGTTCCCATCATAGTGGCACCACAACCACACTTATCATGGCGGCTGCCCGCAGCCATCATGGCGGCCGCCCGCAGCCATCATGGCGGCTGCCTGCAGCCATCATGGCGGCCGCCCGCAGCCATCATGGCGGCTGCCCGCAGCCATCATGGCGGCTACCGTCATGGCCTCACGGCACCCACGACCTCCACTTATCATGGCGGGCGCCCTCACTCATCAGAGGGGTTTCGCGGCCCCGCCTGTCACGGGGTCCTGGAACTTCCCGATCGATCCGATCAAATTTATTCGACCTAATTAGTAAACCTGTGTAGTTTGGCTGCTGGAATATCCACTGGCTCTTGTGTCTGAGCCAGGAACCACATGAGCCCCCAGTGAGCCAGGGGCCAACTTAAGGGCCATTTTTAGGGGTTCTTACAGCCCCTGATGAGCCAGGGGCTGTTTTAGGGGTTCGCACCAACCCCCCAATAACTCAGGGGCCAGTTTAAGGGCTGTTTTAGGGGCTCCCCTCAGTCCCCCAATGAACCAGGGGCAGTTTCAGGGGTTCAGAGCCCCCCACCCTCACCCCCCACCATGACCGTCCCCAGGCTGTGAAGGACTCAGGCCCTATGGGGAGACAGCACCTTTTATTGAGGTGAACATTGCTGTGGGGCTGAGCTGAGCCCTGGGGTGAAGACCCTGGTGTGAGGCCAAACCCTCCATGTGGGGCTGAAGTAACCCCTGGGACCAAACTGACCCTGTGGGACCGAAGTGCCCCATGGGCCCGATGACCCAATCCCATGACGAACATTCCCAGGAGCTCCAGCACAGCCAGTGCCTTGCTGGGACCTTCCCAGGGCACGGCCAGGGCGGGAAATCCATGTCCTGTGTTCCATATTCCGTGGCCTACATCCCAGGTTCCGTGTCCCAGACTCTGTGTCCATGTCCGTGTCCCCTGTTCCTGCCACCATCCCCAGAGCACAGCCAGGGCAGACAATCTCATGTCCCATGTCCCATGTCCCCTGTCTGTGTCCCATGTTTCATGTCCCATGTCCCATATCCCGTGTTCCGTAATCTGTGTTCCATGTCTGTGTCCTATGTCCATATCCCAAGTTCCATGTCCACATCCCATGTTCCATATCCATGTCCAATGTCCCATGTCCATATCCCGTACCCATGTCCCTTATCCCATGTCTTTGTCTGTGTCCCACATCCCGTATCCTGTGTCCGTGTCCCATATCCCATGTTCCATATGCCCTACCCTGTGTCTGTGCCCCCCGTGCCCACCCCCCATTTCACAGTGGGGGGTCTATGCAGAGCTGGGGGTCCTTCGTCCGTCCAGGGGCTCAGCGGGGCTGGCGGCCCATTCCTGCCTCTGGATCGTGCCCGTCCTGCCCTCGAGGAGGTGCCGCCGCTGCTCCCGCGGGATCCGCACCGCATGGTACTGGGGCACCGCCGGGGGGGCACGGCGGGCACGGCGGAAAAACCCCACCTGGGCCGTTGGGGGACAGGTCAGGGGACGGGGGGATGGGTCACCAGGGGTCAGGGGGGTTGGGGGGGGTCCATTCCTCACCTTCCAGAGCCCGAGGACCAGCAGGGCCAGGACAAGGATCCCAACCAGCACCGCCAGTGGGACCACCCACCATGGGACCCCCGCCACAGCCACCCCTGGGTCCAGGTGGATGGACACCGACATCTGGGGGGTAGGGGGGGGGTCAGAGGAGTCTGGGGAACTCGGGGGACTTGGTGGGGAGAGTTTGGGGCAGGAGTCAGACCTGCGTGGCCGCATCCTTGAGCACCAGGTTCTTGCTGGGGGAGGTGATAGAAACCTCGGCACGAACAATCAGCTCCAGCGAGGAGACATCCAGGAATTCCTGGGGGAAACGGGTGAACCAAGCCGGGCTGAGCCCCCTTCTCGCCAATCCCCACCCCCCTGCCCCCCCGCAGCCCCGGTACCTCCAGGAAGGTGCCATTCCAGAGGCGGCCCCGTGCCCGCAGCTCCGAGCGCTCCAGGGTGGGCAGCGGGCACCGGAACAGGCGGCAGCGGGCGGTGCCCCGGGCACAGTCCTGGGGGGATGGAGGGGACACCTCGGGACGGGACATTGGGAATGGGGGGAAGACCCCGGGAATGGGGGAATGGGGGGTGTCACACTGCAGCCTGAAACAGGACTCCAGGAATCCGGGGGGCCCCAGAAATGCGGGTACTCCAGGGTGGGGGGATCCCAGGACTGCATGCTGGAATAGGGGCACTCCAGGAGAGGCATCCCCAGAGTACCCTTCCTTGAACAGGCCCCCCCAAAGCAGGACTCCCCCTGAGCAGGGCCCCCCAGAGCGAGTGTCCCCCCACTCACCAGTGTCACGTTCCTCCTCCTCTCTGAGGGTGCCGGGACCCACCAGGACCGCGGTGGGGGCGTGTGGGGGGGGTCACCTTGTCCCAGAGGCTCCTGGGGGGGAGTAAGAGCGGGGGCAGCAGGGACCCTCGAACATACCTGGGTATCCCCAGACACCCCCCAGGACGCTGCTGAGCACCCCTTGGCTACTCCTGGGCACCCCCTTGGGCACCCCCCAGGCGTACAGGCACCCCCCAGGCAATCCCAAACCCCCCCAGCCCTCCCCAGCCCCCGTGGCTGTACCAGGGTGAGGCGCAGGGGGTTGACAGAGGGGCTGCAGGGCACGGGGGGTGTGCCCAGTTCCAGGCTCAGGGGGTACAGGAGCCACTTCCCGTTGGGCAGCTCAAGGGGCCAGTGCAAGTTGAGGAAGGCAGAGCCCAGAGTCTTCAGCGCCTGTCCCCTGTGGGACACCTGGAGGAGGCATGAGACCCCCACCCCATGAGTGCCACCCATGCCACAAACACCCCTCACCCTGTCAATGCCACTCACATGGACCCCCCAGACCCCAAAACACCCCTCACCTCATAAATGCCCCTGCATGAATCCCCCCAGACCACAAACACCCCCCACCCCACTCCCAGCTCTCCCACGGGGGTCCCGGGGGGGGGGACTCACCGTGACCTCGAAGCTGACAGGGCTGCCCACCTGGCTCTCCCTGCGCACGGCGCTCTCCCCCCGCACCTCCCCCCCGAAAAACAGCCGGGGGGGCACGGCCACTCTGGGGGGGCACAGACAGCGGTCAGAGGAGTCCCGGAGAGGGTCTGGGAGGGGTTCTGGGGTGGGCCCGACCCCCACTTACCCTGTCACGGAGAGGGGTAGCTCGAGGACTACCCGGGCACGAGCGACCACTGGCTCCAGCCCTGGCTGTTCGCTGATCCTGGGGAGGGGGAGAAGGGTCAGAGGAGGCAGCACCCAAACTCTCCCCGTGCCGTGCCCAGAGCCCAGCATGTGGGGCTGAACCCCCCCAACCCCCAAACCCCCCAGGGCTTCAACCCAAATCCTGGGGCCTGCATCCCCTAAATCCCTGGGTTCTCCAGCCCCCAGACACTCCAGATCTCTGGTCTCCAAACCCTCCAGGGCTCCAGCACAGGCCCCCCGGGGGTCTTGACCCTCAACCCCGGGGGTCTCCCCCACCACCCCCTCCCACCACTCACGTGGAAAGCGCGAGCTCCACTGCCAGGTCCGAGGTGTGGATGGTTATTCCCGAGGTGCCGAGGATGAGGAAGAACCGCACCTGGGGCACAGGGGGGCACAGGGGGGAGCGCTGGAGCCAGGCTGGGGGGCAGGGGGGGCGAGGGACTGGGGAGAGGGCTGCACCCACCTGTGCTCCACGTTTCAGGGGGTTCCCCAGCTCACACTCCACCTGGGAGCCGTTCTGGTTGGCGAGGCACAGCACGGGCTTGTCCTGGGGGGCACAGGACTGAGACTCCCCCTGTGGGTACCCCTGGCCCGCTGCACCCCCACCCCCCTTCCCACCCCACATCCTCTCACCCCAAGCCCCCCGCCCTCATCGGGCCGCAGGGCCGCGTAGGGCAGCTCCGGGGGGAGGGTGGCCGTGAGCTGGGCCTGGTGGGCGTCGTCCCCATCCCGCTGCGGCTCCATCGGGTCTGACGGCTCGTTGGTCACCAGGACCTCCAGGGCCACGTCCTTCTGGTCGCTCATGGCGAAGATGGCAGTGCCATCATCGGCCCTGCAGGGCACAGCCACTGTCCCACACCTCTGGGACCATCCCACACCCCCAGGACCATCCATGTCCCACATCCCCATGCCCCCCGCACCCTCCATCCCCCCCAGGGTGGGCACTGCCCCCCAGCCCCCCAACCTGGGCAGGGGCAGGAATTCGCTGTCGCCACGGCGGGCGCAGAACTGGAAGTGCAGCTGGAGATTGCTCTGGCAGATCTTGTCGTCCCCGCAGCCCTGGCGCAGGAAATGCACCTGGGGAGGCATGGGGGGGCACTCAGGGGGGCTTCAGGGGGGATGGGGCAACCCCAGGGACAGGGGTGACACCCCAGGTACCCCTGGGGGGGACAGGCCCCCAGGCCAGTGGTCCCTGGCAGTGCCCACCTCAGTGCGGTGGGTGCTGGGCTGGTGGGGGCTGAGTGCGGGGGAAAGGGGGGGCAGCACAGCCCCCCGCCCCCCCCGGTGCCCCCCAGGCCCCCGGATCCCATAGGCCAAGGTGACAACAATGG